AGAACATAGGTATTGTGTTGGAAAAAGTGGAGTTTGGGGGTCAGCTGGTCTCTATTTCATTGAATCCCATATGTTATGTTGTTCACTTTACGCGTTTCTCGTTTTACGTGGGCCTCCGTGGGTTCAATTGACCGCGTAAAGTGAGGGTTCACTGTATATATATATATACAGACTAAAGAGAAGTACAAAACAAGGTGTATATATACAGAGGAGGGTGAGACCAGGTCCACAATGGTCAGGTATTAGGTTATGACCCTACTAATCTTTAAATAGCACGGCAACGGTCGGTAGTCAGGTCAGAGGGTAAGGTGACCCAATCTTCTCACCTGGTTACAAATCTTCTTAATTACAAAATTGTCCAGTTTGTACATGCCATTACTCAAATTCATGTTGAATGCTTCGGTATGTTTAATGAGACTAGATTGTATGATGTTCCTACTATCAATTGAATTACAAGGTAATATTGAGGAGGCATTATCCCAGTCAATGCAATGCTTGTTATCCCTCAAATGAACAAACAGAGCATTTGATTCCTGGCCTGTCCTAACACTATATTTACAGTATGTTGTTTAAGCCTAGTTACAAGATCTTTGCCTGTCTGGCGTAAGTAAAACATATTACATTCCTTGCAAGGAACTTTATCAATGCAACCAATTGTGTTGTTGGGGGAGTTCTTGATTAACATTTGTTTAACAGTGCACGACTTTTTAAATGCCACATTGACGTTCCAGGTTTTTAGTTGTAAGGGAATGTGTGAGAAATTTTTGTGAAATGGTAATATTAAGATATTCTTATGGTCATGGGTGGGCTTGGGATCAGTTCTATAAAAAGTTTTCTTAGTAATGTTTAGGCATTTGTCTATGAAAGATCTAGGGTATTTAAGGTTTGAGCCAATATTATAGATATATTTATATTCCTCATATATATACATACATACACATACATATATACATATATATATATATATATATATATACATACATACACATACATATATACATATATATATATATATACAGTGGGGTATGCTATAACGAACGGATCCTACTACGAATATTCCTATAACGAACGGTTTTACCTATAAAATTGAGAATTCTATAACGAACGAAACTCCTACAACGAACATTATTTAAATTTGTTTTTTCTAATTTATTGTTTTTTTTATTACAAATATTAATGATATTCTTTATTTCAGGGGTTTAGATGCATATTTATGCACTTTTTTACAATTTTTACAATTTTATTTTATATTTTTCAGTGTTAAGTGGTTGTATTTGGGGGCCTGGAACGGATTAATCCTATAACGAACGAATGCTATAACGAACAAGGTTCTAGAACCAATTAGATATATATATATATATATATATATATATATATATATATATATATATATATATATATATATATATATATATATATATATATATACAGTAGTACCCCGATTTACGCGGTCAATTGAACCCACAGGGTACCGTGTAAAGTGAACAACAGAACATATGGGATTAATTCCAATAGAGACTGGCCCGACCCCCAAACTCCACTTTTTCCGACACAATACCTATGTTGTAGTAAAAATAACATCTAAATTTTATGATGGTATGCTCACACAATTAATATTTAAGAGAAATACAGTCGCCAGGTTAATGTCCATTCAAATAATGGACTCAAATCCCCCCCCTCTTCCCAGCTCACTAGCTCCTACCTCTCTGAGAAATGTTTGGGTGAAACCACTAGATTTTAACGTTTAGTAATAAATAATACCTCAGACTAAAGTTAGGATAATATAATTGACATTTCTGGATTCCTTGCAGGTCAGGGAATATTTTGAATGTAAACTTCATATATTTTGCACAAAAGATAAAATATTTGCTTTGTGTAAACCAAATTATTACATTAGATCTAAAATTTGTATATCTAATGCAAAATCCATGATGTTTATATTCAAAATGATCATCATATTGTAAGAATTCCAGCAATGTAAATTATATTCTGGCTGAGTAATTTGTATGAATTTTATGAGCTAAAACAAATATCTTCAGGTAATAAAAAAAAAAATATTCTTCACGACACTATCTGTCAATCAATGTACCCCACCTTGCCTTCCACCTCCTCACACTCACGCCAGCTGGGTCGGTCGGTCCCAACCCTACCCCCCACCTTCCCTCCCTACCAGAGAAATTTTTGGGTGAAAAAACTAGATTTTAACTTTTAGTAATAAATAATACCTCAGACTAAAGTTAGGAAAATATAATTGACATTTCTGGATTCCTTGCAGGTCAGGGAATATTTTGAATGTAAACTTCATATATTTTGCATAAAAGATATAATATTTGCTTTGTGTAAACCAAATTATTACATTAGATATAAAATTTGTATGTCTAATGCAAAATCCATGATGTTTATATTCAAAATGATCATCATATTGCAAGAATTCCAGCAATGTAAATTATATTCTGGCCGGGTAATTAGTATGAATTTTATGAGCTAAAACAAATACAGGTTGTACCTCTCTAGTCCGGCATTCTGTGGTCCGGAAACTCCCGTGGTCCGGAACGATTCTAGTTTGTCCAATAGGTAGATAGGCAGCTTTTTTTTTTTTTTTTATCTGAATTATTATTATTATTACAGGAGTATTAAATTTTTGCCCCTCAGGCCCCAATGTGGGTCAGTGACCTATGCCCGGGTGGGCTAATCCCCTTAAAAAAAAAAAAAAAGCCGCGGGAAATTAAGGTTTGTTTACATCCGGCAGTTCGGCTGCTCTCTCTCTCTCTCTCTCTGCTTGTCTATACAGAGTACAACATTTAACCCTTCAATATATATGAGCAGTAAATAAGTGTTGCTTTCATATTCTTATGTAGAGTAATGACGATATATTTTCACATGTGCGCACTTACATACGAGCAGTCTCACTTTTTTTTTTACCATTAATGGTTAGCTACTTATATTGTTCCATTTATTAACATTAAATAACATTACAGGTACTTCAAGCAACCATATTCATTTTTTTACATTAATTTTACTACAGCTAAACTCAGGGTCTTATTTTCTTCAGTTTTATATGTAGAACCAATCAGTCACTGGTTTCGTAAGCTTTAACATAAACAATGCCGGCAGCCGTCTCGTCTCCTCTAATATTCCACGTATTATTAATAAATTGTATTGTTAATTTTGCACACACGTACATTAATTCAATAAAAACAAATTCAGAAACATTAATTAAAATATATATGAACAGTAAATAAGTGTTGCTTTCATATTCTTATGTAAAGTAATGACGATATGTTTTCACGTGTGCGCATGCGCACTTACATATGCGATCTCTCTTTTTCTTTACCATTATCGTTAGCTACTTCTATTGTTCCATTTATTAACATTAAATAACATTACTTAAAACAACCATATTAATTTTACTACAGCTACAACCAAGGTCTTATTTTCTTCAGTTTTATATGTAGAACCAGTCAGTCACTGGTTTTGTAATCAACGAATACAATGCTGTGTCATTTCCTCGTGTGTTTTAATATTCTACGTATTATTAATGAATTGTATTGCTCATTTTGCACACACAAACATTAATTCAATCAAAAAGACTTTCAGTAATAAACAATAATGAAACTTTTGTACATAAGAGAAATGACGCTGTTCACACGATTATGCACTTCGTCTGCACGTTGGCGGGCCGTTCAAACCCGTCGAAATTCAAGTTTCCGCCGTCAAAATTTTTATTTATTTATTTTTTTGTGTGTTCCAATAAAATACGTTAAGAATTAAAAACTCGCGAAATTTGAGAAGCTACTATACGACATTTAACCCTTCAATATGCCTTCAAAGAGACCATGATGCAGAGAAAGTGGTGCTAGTACTTCCATGCATAAGCACAAGTCACTATCTATCCAGGAAAAGGGTGAATTTCCATGGTCCGGCACCGGTCAGGTCCCGAAGTTGCCGGACTAGAGAGGTACAACCTGTATCTTCAGTAAATAAATGAATATTCTTCAAGGACACTATCTGTCGATCAAAATACCCCACCCCCTCCCTCCCTCCCTTCCCACCCCCCACCTTCCCTCCCTACCAGAGAAGTGATTGGGAGAAAATAGTATAATTACATTTTTAGTAATAAATAATACCTCAGACTAAAGTTAGGATAATATAATTGACATTTCTAGATTCCTTGCAGGTCAGGGAATATTTTGAATGTAAACTTCATATATTTTGCACAAACGATAAAATATTTGCTTTGTGTAAACCACATTATTACATTAGATCTAAAATTTGTATGTCTAATGCAAAATCCATGATGTTTATATTCAAAATGATCATCATATTGTAAGAATTCCAGGATGTAAATTATATTCTGGCAGATTAATTTGTATGAATTTTATGAGCTAAATAAAAAAAAGTACAAAAAAATTACACTTCACCGCGTATATGAGTAGATGCACCGCTGAAAGTGAAAGTCCGGTTCTGGCAAAGTACCGCGTAAATGAGAGCGGAAAGTGAAACCGTGTAAAGCGGGGTAAGACTGCATATACATGTATATACAGGATGTCCCATAAATTTCCATACATAGGAAAAATAAATTTTATATAAAAATCCATTTTTATTTATATAATATGCTCTACATGACTACCATTCTGTTGAAAACACTCTTCAATGCGTGTCATCCACTGCTGAAGAACACGTTCAAGCACAGCTGGAGTTATGCTTGTAATGGCGTTGGTGATACGTTGTATGGAAACTTATGGGACACCCTGTATATATGTGTGTATATATATATATATATGTGTGTGTGTGTGTATAATATATATATATGTGTGTGTGTGTATATATATAATATATGTGTGTATGTGTGTATATATAATATATATATATATATATATATATATATATATATATATATATATATATATATATATATATATATATATATATATATATATATATATATATATATATATATATATATATATATATATAGTTTTGTTTGAATTTTTTTACAGCTTCGACTTCTTTCGTGGTGTAATAGACGAGGGAAAGAATGTCAAATACATTGAAGAAGTTGTTGGTACTTTTTTGCTGCAGTGGCTGCCCACAGCTCTAGCATCACCCCTTGCTATGGATGCCCTTAATCTTGTCAATAACCTGATTAAGTTCAACTCGGCCTTCCTAGACGAACAAGTTATTATGGGCTATGTTAAGTAAGTCATTGTGCTTTTAGGTTATCATTGGAGAACTTTCTTTAATTTTCACGAACTTTCTTGTATTATAGTATTTTCACACTAACCTGGCCCACAAGTCACGCCCCTCTTCTATTCTAATTGGTGATTGGTTTATAGAAAATTCAAACTAAATGTGTTTACAGTTACAGTGGGGTATGCTATAACGAACGGATCCTACTACGAATATTCCTATAACAAACGGTTTTACCTATAAAATTGAGAATGCTATAACGAACGAAACTCCTACAACGAACATTATTTAATATTTTTTTTTTTCACTAATTTATTGATTTTTATTACAAGTATTAATGATATTCTTTATTTCAGGGGTTTAGATGCATATGTATGCACTTTTTTACAATTTTTACAATTTTATATTATATTTTTCAGTGTTAAGTGGTTGTATTTGGGGCCCTGGAACGAGCGAATCCTATAACGAACGAATGCTATAACGAACAAGGTTCTAGAACCAATTAGATTCGTTATAGCATACCCCACTGTATAGTGCATTTTTTTTCAACTGAGAAGAGATGCCCCGCCCCCTCCTCAAGAGTTACAGCTGATTGGCTGTTGCAAATCTGGACTATTTCGTCCTGAAGTAATGATGTATTTCTAAATTAGTTTTTTTCATAATACAGTAGTTGGGATGACCGTTTCTGACGAGAAATATGTTTAGCTAAATTATTTAAAGATACATATTCATTATTCCAAATATTTATTTGTATGTGTTCTGTACACACACACACACACACGACAGATTTACTTTGGTGTATGACCTATGACACACCCTATACGGAAGGGACAGTTTTACTATGGTGTATGGCCTATGACACTCCCTGTAAAAATAGGGATATCTTTCTCTCTCAAAACTTTAAAACTACCCACAGACATTCTTGGGTACATCCAGGGTGTCATTCGCTAAGTAAAAATCCACGAACTTGGGGGGGGGCTGCTGTATAGTTGTTTAGAGGAAGTTTCCGAGATCAATGTAGGGAAGGTTTCCACTTACTGTAGGTCTAACCATGCTGCTCTACCTGATATGGTTACCCACTGCCAGGCGTAAATGTTGTTTTCATTTACATTCTATCTTATACCTAATTACATTTAACACCAAACTATTTTTCAGTGAATTTTGCAATTCATTAAGTTTACCTTCCATAGTATTGACTGGCCATAAAACCTTTCCCAGCGCTCAATTTTGTGCACTATATCTGGTACGGGTGGCCCGGCCCGCCTGGCGATCAGCGCCGGTCAGGGATTAAGCAGTTCATTCATAACTACAGTATGTGCTTTTGGTTTTTCTTCATGGCCATATTTTGTTCTCAAATCCGGATGCAATACTTATTGTATATACCCTGTACAGGCATCCCCTGCGTTACGGAAGGGTTGCATCCCTGGAAAATTGACCATATTGCAAAATTCTGTAACGCAATACCTATTTTCCCATTGCCTTCCATTATAAAACTGGAGATGCGTTCCTAAGGAATTTTTTTCGACCTCAAAAAAGTAATTCAAGCACTTTTATGAATGAAAATCAACATTTATAAACACATACAATACAGTACATTAAATAATTTATGATATACAGTTGTACCCCGCTTAACGTGGTTTCACTTAACGCGATTTCTCATATACGCGGTGCCTCGCCAGAACCGAACTTTCACTTAACGCGGTTCATCTACTCATATACCCGGGAAGCGGCGCGGGCACGATGCGCACAAGGTCGCCCAGTCATCAAAACATTACCGAGTTCTTCACCCACCACAGCCGGCCCAAGTCAGGCCCTGCAAGCCTCTGTGGTGGATAGTGATACAATTGGTACAAGTGATACAGGTGAGGGCCAATAATCTGCCCTCTGCCTCGGAACCAACCGCCCATCCCCGTGTGCCCAGCCATCTTTTCTACTAATGTAAGTGTTAAAAAACCTAATATTATTGATATTTCTCTTAATTATTATGTGTGTGTGCATACCATCATAAAGTTAAGATAATAATTTTACTACAACATAGTTGTATGTCGTCAAAAAGTGGAGTTTGGGGGTCGGGCCAGTCTCTATTGGAATTAATCCCATATGTTCTGTTGTTCACTTAACGCGGTACCCTGTGGGTTCAATTGACCGCGTTAAGCGGGGTACAACTGTACATGTAATAGGAAGAGAAATACAGTTGGAAGAAATAAAAATATTGTATTGTACTCACCACAAAAGATGTTGACTGCTGCTGCTGTCCTTATTATCACGGATTGTTCCCACTGTTGAAGTAGCAAGACCTAATGTTTTTGCAATCTGGCTAAGTTTTTCTCTAGCATCACACCTTCTTAAAACCTCAAGTTTAATATCCAATGTAATGCCTTTGCGACATCTTTTTGCACTACTGTGGTCACTTCCACTTGATGGCCTCTTTCCTGTCATCTTGAATAAGGGTAATGCACTGTACTGCACTTACTGTATGTTTGTAAAAGTTAAATCAAACTGCTGGGGCGAGAAACTTGCGTGCACACTGGATGTAAACAATTGAGTGACTCCGCGTGGCGACACCACGCTTGGCGGTAGCAAACACCAAGAAATTCACACCAAACAAATTATAATTTTTAACAAAATTTTTTTATTTTATATAGTGATTTTTTTTAAATTGTTAAAATTTACCCCAATTTCCGTAAGGGCAGATTTACGGGCCGTACCGCAAAATTATTGGTCATAATTTACAAATTCCGTAAGAGCGAATTTCCGCAACCCGGGGTATGCCTGTATTACATACACATGGGTGTATGTATAATTACCCCGAAAAGTCCGCTTTATCTGTATTGGCAATTTTGTAGTTACTCTAAGGGGGTTGACTTGCTATAAATGAAGACAGTACAGGTACTCCTCGACTAACGACCTACTCGACTTATGACCACCCGGACATAAGACCGCCGCAGTCATATGAATTTTTTTCAAATTACGTACGTATTTTCTAATACAGAAACGTTTTCGTCCTGTACGACAGCGTGGCGTGGGCTGGGCCGCCTCGTGGTGTACAGCATCCAAGCCCTAGCCCACTCGGTGTTAGTGATCGCACTGTGTACTGACAAAATTTTTGTTTCTAATTCCCTTTAAAATGACTGGCACGCGTACAAGTGAGAGTTCTGGTGGTGCTCAGAAGAAATAAACTTTTGAGATGAAAATGAAAGTAATACAGTGATCCCTCAGTTAACGAACGCCTCGGTTAATGAAATTTCGGTAAACGAACTGCCTTCCATAAGAATCTTCAATTCGGTTAACGAAAAAAAATTTGGTTAACGAATTTCTTACGAACCGACCTGAACATGTTTTCGCTTGCACTGGCCGGGCAACCAGCTTTAGTATCAGTCTGCCAATACATTAATCGGTTCTAGGGCTTAAATTCCTTACTATTTTAGTAAATATCAAGGAAGTTTATACTATTCAATAATTTTAAAAGTTTAATATTCAATTTTTTAGTCATTTTAACAATTATTGAACATAATTGAAGGTAAAGTGACTAGTTTAATGCGCGGCATCCAGCCTCTTAACACAGCAAACAGGCGTTAGTGTCTCTGTTTTCACTGGAGGTAACATCTTGCTTGAGACTCTCTTCAACTAAACGCTTTTTTCTGTGTTTCCAAGCAAATTATTGGTCATTTTGAAATATATTTTACATATTGACAATATATAATGCAGTGCAGTGTTGATTTAAAGAAAATAATTTTGAAATACACCAAGAGACCTAAAATTTTATGGGTGAAATGGTGCCATGGGGTGACTTCTCTTCCACCCCAATGCCTTCTCTTCTTCCTTCTCCTCCACCCCCATTCTAATTCCCATCATCATCATCATCATCATCATCATCCAGGAGCCTTCTACATACACACCTCAAAGTAAGTGAACTTTTCTACCATTTTTGTTGAATTTAGGCAATTTTCGGTGAGCTGGAACCAATTGCCCAAAAACCCATTGAAACAATGATTTCGGTTAACGAACTTTTCGGTTAACGAACAACCTGCTGGAACGGATTGAGTTCGTTAACCGAGGGACCACTGTAATGCGATATGAAAATGGAAAAACGGTAGCAACCATTTCACGCGACCTTGGCTTCTCTCACTCGCGATATCAACAATTTTGAAGGACAAGGCAGAGGCATTTGCTACTATTAATAAGGGGATGCAAATGTTTGAAGAAATGGATCAAAATGTTGAGCGTTTTGCAAAAGTTGACAGACAGATCCAAGATGCACTTGCTTGCTACATGGAGATTTACAATGAAAAGAAAAGGCAAACTGTGCAGTCTAAATTGGACATATATTTTAAGAAGTCTCCCATTGCTATCTCATCACTTCTGGTAGTCTGTAGGTCTCCCTTTTCTCTTGATACAGTCCTACAGGTGTGAAGGAACTGACTCTGCCAAGTTGTAGAGTATTTGTGGGTCTAAATTATTCCACTCTTCACGAATGGCTGCCTCCCGCTTGGGGACGGTACTTGTGTCCTTGCCATGTATTACAGATTTTGTTGTGTGTCAAGGGGTACCATCCTGTATAAACACATCAGTGCGGTATTTTTCAAAAGACCCGGGCAAATAATCACAAAGCAGCTCCAAGTAGTTAAATTGGTTTATCATCACATTCCTAGGTAGCACATCAAGATTGCCAGTTCCAAAGCACGAGAAGTAACCCCACACCATTAGTGATTCGGGATGCTTAACTGTGCTAAAAGTGAACTTGGGGTCAAGCGAATCACTACCTGTACACATTAAAAGTACGACTTCCAGTAAAAGAAAACAGTGCCTCGTCACTCCACAGCACGTGCTGCCACTTGGTTGTATCCCACTGAGCCTTAGCAAAAGCGACCCTACACTGTCTCTGGACAAGGGTGAGGAGTGGCTTCTTGCATGCGTGGTGGCTGCGAAACTGCAGGTCGTCATAGATGCGGCGGTGAACGGTCCTTACAGAAACATCACCTAGAAGTACAGGGTTTTTTCTTTCAAT